TTCCGTGATAGGGTTAAACTTTTATGGTTCATCCTTAGTTCACTGACCACCAGAATCAAGTTAGGATAAAAAATCATTCCCGCTAGTTTTTTGCTGTCTCTCTTTATTAAAATGAATCCAGAAAGGCTAAGACTAGGGATTTTCACCCAATTTATCGCTGAAATTCTTAGAAGGGGTGGATACAAAATTAAATTAGGGATTAAGTGCTAATAGTCTCCTAATTCAATTTTTTCCAGTAAAACTAAGCTTAAACCTAAAAATACTTTTGGTTCAAAAATTCAATTATTGAATGTAGAGGTCATGAAAATAAAATGCAAGAAAACTGCTTTTGCTACAAAATATGCAGAATTAGCTGAGCAGCCAAAAGTTGTTGTCAATTTAAGGTCACAATTTTGTTAGACCAAAAAAACGCTGGGTAGTTAACGATTAAAATAATTTGGATAGCTCATTAAATTTATTGATCGGGTTTGAAAAAATGCGGGTGTATTTTTTGTGACGAATAAAAATGACAGGTGCATGAAACTTGTGGTCAAGTTAAAGAGTGATCTTATAAAATGTCAAGGAGCTGATATAAACTCTCGATAGGTAATAAGTGGGGTTTTCACAAGAGCCAGTTTTTATTTTTAATTAGGTAAGAAAACTGCGTGAACTTTTTTCGCGATCTTTGGATAATGCTATTTTATAAATCGCTAATCTAAATAATTTTAAGATGGCCGGCTCAATTGTTTACAGAAAAAACTTAATCAACATGCATAGTTTCTATCACCTGATAAATTACAAGCCAACTGAAATGTCATAAAATGTTGGCAGGATCCTTAAAAATGAAGTCAAGACTTAAACCAAGATGTTGATGAAAACGATTAGAGATCGTTCAAGTTCGCCTTGCTAAATTTGAGTCTATTTGATTCTTTTTTTGTCATAGCTATTGATTCACATAAAATATTTTTTTTTTTGATTTTTTTCTGTTGTCATAACTCATGTTTTGCAGTATTATTTTCTGACTTAATAATTTTGTTCTTTTTTGAAAATCTAACGACCAAAAGTTATGATCTTTATCATTAATATGGAACTTTCCTATATGGAAAAAGAACAAAATTATTAAGTCAGAAATTATAGTTACTTTCCGCTACGAAAGTAACGGAATTTTTTGTGCTCCGGTGGTTTTTTTTTTCTTCAGACAAATTTCGACTTTTTATCTAGCCAGTTTTGACGGAATTTTTTTATATCATTCAAAAGGTATCAATTTGAAAAGATATTTTACCTGTGATTAATTTTCGTAAAGTTTTAGGGGCTTAAAGATTGTCGTTTTTGCCAATTTGGGACATTAACGCGCGATATATTTCGCGTTAATAACGCGTAAGCGGAGATTTAATCCGTCTTAGAAATCGTTCCAAATTGGTTCAAGGAAGCTTATTTGCCATAATTGATTTGTTAATACGAGCAAACTCTATCACTTTTCCTTTAAATGGCGTATGGGAGGATGATTTTCACAAAAATCTTTTTAAAAAATGATTTTATTTTATTACATTTAGTTTTTTCATGTTATTACTGCTCCATAAACCTTAAAAGGCAGTCGAAACATTCAAGGCTTCGCCCTGATACGAGCAGTCTTGTTATGTCTGGTGAATGAACATAATAAATCTCATTGCTGAAAAGGAATGGTATAGAAAATTAAACAAAGCTTTTGGCCAAAACGTCAGTTTTACAAATAATATGGTTAAAATATCAAAACACATTTTTGTAATTTTTTTAAGTTATAATAAAATTACAAAACAAAGCGAGAGACATATCAAAAAAGGGTGACTTGGTGTCATAGCAGAGACTGAGAATCGTTGTTTCTGTTTTGCTTGCTGGGGCCGTACGAGAGTTTTAAATAATCGTTCGCAGTTTGTTCTAACATCTGAGACAGTTGAATAAATTAGTAAGTCAACAAATTTTTAGATAAATTTTTGCCACTCGAAAAAAAAAGTTTTTATAAGATACAGACAACCCACTCCTCGCCTAACCCACAATTGGCACTTAACTGTTTGTTGTAAGTAGGCAGGTGTTTCAGAGGCGTTAGAATTCGGTATACAACCTCTTCAAACGAAACTATTCAGAGTTGTCACCAGAAATTGTCAATTTCTCTGTAATATTGAAAAATACGACGAATCAGTTTGCTCACTATATTTCAGGGTTTTGGTGACGAAAAGGTGCCGTTAACAACAAAGAAGGCAAAACAAAAACCCTGAACCAAAATAAGCTGCTGATTCTAGGTTTTTTGAGTTGTATCAAATCGCTAAAAACCATGAAGGGCTAAGAACAGACACAAAACAATTGTTTGAAGCACGAAACAGAGTAAGGTGTAATCTTGTACTGACAGATAACAAAATCAAGAGATTACGAAAGAATACAAAATTATAAAGAAAACATGAGAGCTACAAACAAACGAAAAAGTTTTATCGGGTACCCACGGAGACAGCAAGTGGAGACTAAAAACTGGCAACTGGTTGACTTTCAAGAAGAAGTGGAGGAGGTTAAATTACAAAGGGAATCAATAGAAAACTGGTTAAAGCGGGAAAAGAAAACCGTTTAGAAAAGTGTCGAAAACCAAAACTAGACATGAAAAACACTAAGGACGTTGGAGCGTGTTAAAACCGAACAAAACGAAGTTCGGGATCAAATTCACAATTTAAGCAAAAACCAATCATTTGGTGTTTTTTGCTCAGCCCAAAGTCATTAAGTAGAGCAACTAATTCCAACAACACGCAAACTAGCTGAGCAAAAGCAAAAGAAACAGAAGTTTTGACTTTTTGCGAGAACAAATCTCCGTTTACAAGAAGAACGAAGGCGCATACGATAGAATTACTCACCAAAAAATAATTTTTGACTGGTGTTTCTAAAGCACCCTAATATTTGCAGAAAAACATACTGAATCGGTGTCAAAATTTTGTGTTCAAAAAGAAAAGAAACCTACTTACCAAACTTATTAAATCTTACTTTGGTGAAAAGTCAGTTTGATTTTTCTGGCCCAGTTTTTTATCCTAAGCTCAAATTCAAAAAGACATTCCACCGGTGATTCACATTGAAATGAGGCCAGCAACTTAATCCTGTTATCACAAAACGAGACGCTAAAACACCCTTAGTATTTTATATAGCGTGTGGGGGATTAAATGAAGAAACATTAAAAATAATCTTCTTTTTTTTCTCAATTATTTTGTCAAGTATTCAACCAAAAAACTTTCCAATTGGCCCTAAGTGGCCCTAGTCGGAATATTCAGGTCATTGCCCTGATATACGATCAGTCTTGTTTTTTATCAATATACATTTATGAACATTTGGTAAATTATAACTAGGCCTCCCGCATCCAGTTTCAAGCGTTAATAATCGATTATAGTATGTTTTTAGTACCAATCAAACAAAAGTTGAGAAAAAGATGATTTTAATCGATTATTTATTGATTATAGCCTTTCTTTTTGAAATCAAATATAATCATTTATAATACATTAAAATTGATTATAATCGATTATTTTCATCCGAAATTTCAATTCATATGTTTTGCAGAAAAAATTCATTATAATCGATTATAATTGCTTACAAACCATTTTGTTTGCCTATTTTATCTTCAACTTTGCATATGAAATGCTTATATTTTATACTTTTTGTAGACGCTGGTTTATGTGAGAAATGGGAAATTTTTTTTAACAGTATTTAAATCAATTCAAATTTATAACTTTTTTTTTCATTTCTTTTTCATTTTAGTTGTTTCATGATGCACATCATAAGTTTTTTTGACAACCAAAATATCAGCACTTTTCTTTAGTTTCATGATTTATATAGAAGAGTTATGTTTCATCTACCGCGGGATTCTTTCAACTATTATGAAGGGATCTCTATGAAACTTTTGTTTCGTGGTAAAACTTTGTGTTCAGGTGAACCAAAGAGTAACAAGACATCTCATTTTTAGAGATTTTTGACGGAAAAAAATATCATAATCTATTATAATATATTAGAATAGATTACAAGAGATAATAGGATATTTTAAGAGATTATAAGACATTAGAGATTGTCGAGATTTTCGGAAAAATTATAATCATTTATAACTGATTAAAATTTATTATAATGTCACGAAAAATGTTATCATTATACTGGATTATAAATCATTTAAACATCTAATTTTGGCGCTTATAACTAATTATAATTTTGATAAAAGTACAAATATACTTGTAATATAATCGATTTTTTTCTCTTTTACTGAGTGCGGGTTACTAAACAGACCAAAGGACGTACCATATGGGAGAGCTTTGCAGTCGAGCAGAGACTGGGAGTGATTGCTGCTAATTTGCTAGCTTAGCCCCGAAGTGATTTGCAAACATCCTTTCGCAATTTGATCTAATTTTAGACACAGTTTAATAAAAGAGAGAAAATATAATGTTTTTTCAATAGAGTTTCAAGTGGGAAGTTGTTATAAGATACAAACACCTCACCACTTACCTGACCCACAGTTGGCACATAACTATTAGGTGTAATCAAGTGAGCATTTCACTAACCCTGAGTATGAGAAAGAAGGGCAAGGTTACGATCCTCCACTTAAGCCGCATAAAGAAATAATCTACAGATACGCCAGTTGAAACTGATAAAAATCAAAAGAAAACAAAGAGTCTGATTATGTTTCAATAAAAACTACTGTGAAAATATTGGAAAGTTTGAAATATGATGATAAAATTTTGAGTTGATAAGAGGAATGAAGCAATTCTATATGCCAGTCAGACCGAATGCCCAATAACAGACGCGAATCCAGGACTTGCTCAAAAGGACAGATGGGGAAGGTGATTTCTCAAAAAAAATCACACAGCGACAAAATTTTGAAAAAAAACTAACAACACAGTTTTGGGTAGTCAATTGAGTTTTGACCAAAATTGTGTTTTTTTTTGCTCGCTCATTATTTAAAAAAGCTCTTTAGGAAAAAATTTATGGATACAGTAAAATGAATACTGTAAAAATGTAAATAAGTACCGCCCTTCATAAAAACGCCACTGCTTAAAAATTATGTTAGGTATTTCTGCAGTTTTAATCTGACATAATTCCGATGCGTAATTAGTCACTTTCAGACTCTCTAAAGGACGTTTATTGGTTAAAAATGGTCGAGCATCCGGTCTTTCTGCCATGAGAACAGCCTCCATTCAAAGCTCTCGATCCAAAACTTTTGTGAACTTTCGAAATAGTTCAGTTTTTCTGTCGTTGAAACTCCGCATTCGGAAAGCAGATTCGACCCATTTTTTAGTCAAGTATTGTGAAATGGTTTTGATTAAATTCATTTCTTGTTTCGATAAAGTCTTCTGAAATAATTTGTTCAGCAGAATGACAACTTTGCTCAATGAAAATGAAATTTCATCCATGTCATCGCATTGAGGGCCTTCTAGAACAATCCGAAGCTCGATTAACTTGTCACGGAGCTCGCTTCGTATATCGGAACATTCAGCACTAGTCAATGAATTTCCTTGTAACTTATGGCAGCATTTGAAATACAGTTTAATCACGCTTTCTACTAGAAATTCGGGTTCGATAAGGCCTTCCGGCGTTTCAGAACTTGAGCATTTGCTCTCGGAGATATCTTTTTTCCGCGACCAAAGTCGTGCAAGACTTTGAAACAGACTCGTTGATTCAGTACTCGGCTTTCGGCTGATCGTATTCAGAGGTCTCGGTGGCGGCGTGAAATTAGACCTATACTGTCCTTGATTCCTCAAGAAAGGCTGAGTCGAGACACGGGGCTCTGCATTGTTCCTATTGGCTGCTCGTCTTTGGGGCTGGGGTGTCATGGGAGTTGGAATCTTGACCTTTTCGTCTCCAGTTTCCGTCAGAAGTACAGACTGGGTCGCTACTCTTCCCATAAAGGGGGTCGGGGTCGTGACCTCTCCCGTTTGTGTTGTTGGCTTTTGTACCGCGGCTTGAGGCGGCAATACACTTGGCATGTCTAGGCTCGCCGTCTGTTCGAAATTGAACAAGTCTTCTAGCTCTTGCAATCCCATTATGGCATTGCTGGTGCTTAGAACTAAATTGAGATGAAAGTAAATTAGAGACAGAAGGAGGCCGGGAACGCCTTCAAAATTTGTCACAGGATGACAACAAAATGAAGCAATTTATTTCATTTTTTGTTCATCATTTTATAATTGCCTAATTTTAAAATTGTGTTTTTTTTTGTGTTTTCGCAAATAAAATTTTTAGTTTTTATAATCATTTTTACGACTCTTTAAAAAATGAATAAAAAGTATTGTATGCTGAGGAAGTATGAAGATAATGTAATATTCAGTAGTTGTGATCTTGATTCAGTTGAAACCTGATTTGAAATCATATCTACCTAAAGACTCAGATAGTGAAGATTGAGTGGTATCTTCATTGTTATCTGATGTGGTTGAATTCGAGTTCTGCCGCATAAAACCTGGTAACAAAAAACAAAATCCTGACAATTTGATGAGAAAATGTAGTTTGAAAAAGCGCTTTTAACAGCAACCGGCATACTTTTATATATTTAAACGTTATCAGTATGCCACGAGCTATAGTCAAAATATGTTGGACACATTTCAAAAAATGTCCTATTTTTTGCACCACAGACATTTTTTTTCTGCGCCACAGATAATTTTTGTTGTTCCGACCATTGAGAATGGGGAAGAATTTTGTATTCGGGTGTGTTTTAGTTTTTTCTCTTTTGTTTTCCACGCAAAATCAGGTACTACACATAATTATCGGACTGTGTTGAATGATATATCGTATTAAAGCCCTTCTCTCGTGATTCGAACCACATTTAAAATTTCTCTTAGAGCAAGCAGGCTTTTTTATTCTTATTTTAGCCGTTTACAAGAGCTTATTTATAAATAATTTTATTTTTATTCGAGTAACGCCATGCTGGGAATCAAAGACCTCAAAATTTAAAAAAAATTCTGCAAAAATTTTCATAAATATTTTTTTGTTTTTCTAGTCACTTCCATTTAAAACTATTGTCGTGTTTGCCTATTTGACTATATTTGTCGAATATGCCTAAATTATAGCTTTACGTCAGCTCCTTTTGTCACACCACACAAAAACTACACAAATTTCAAAAAAAAAACTTTTTTTTCTTGTAGTTTTTTCTAAGACTGGTCGGAACATTCTGTGCTACTACTTGCACAGTAACCGGCTACCCTTGTTATTTATTGCACATTCTTTCCAACTATTGTTTACCGACTATTGGCGCATCAAGGATAACATGTGTGGTTGTCAAAACTGGATGACGTATAAACTAATACCAAAGGGTGACTTTTTGAGTGTAACCGTGTCGAAACCTCGAGGAAAGAAAGACCTCAGCCTCCTCCCTTAAATCACTAGTGAAATATTAGAATTGTTTTGAAATTAAGAACTATTACACCAACACTGCTTATATATACCTTGAAAATTTGAATCAACGTAAGAGTTCGGAGGTACTGAGGGTCCATTCGTGGACGATGAGAGCACCTCACGGGACCAAGGTGATCCTGCAACATTGGCCACACCGACACTTGATTCCCAGTTAGCCTCGGAATAGACATTGTTGTTGATACTGGCGTTAGTTTTGCAGTTTTTTTCGTGGTCGTTGTTGTTGTTGTTGCGACCCCAACTATCACTCGAATGGTGTTCCTCGCTCGAAGAATGCAAACGCATGTCCGGTTTGGAGGCACTCTTTATCCATGAATTTGGAGCTCGTTTTAACCTGTTTTTTTAAAATTGAAAAAAAAACTAATAGAAAAAACTGTAATAAAAACTGTAATAAAAAAATATTTGCAATTTAGATTCCTTTCACTGCAAGCTTCAGAACCTTCACAGCGAAAAGAAATCTCATTCCGAGATTGCCGTGGAACTTTTTCGCCTCTAATCCTTTATCTACGTTAGCTCAGTTTTTTTTTACTCTGAATAATTAATCAAAAAATGAATAATAAAGCTGTTTGGTGCACTAATTACTGAAAAGCAAAAAAAATTTATACCAAACCTACACTTGACATTTTAATTTTTGTAATGTATTTTCAATTCAAAAATGAGCTTCACTAATTTGTAAGTTAATAAACATGTCCAAAAATTTTGTTTTGAATATCAATTAAAAGCGTGTGGCCAATAGTACTACTCGATGAAAGTTTAATGCAAAAACAATTCCCGTTTTTCTTAAAAAAGCTTTAATAAAACCAGTATTCAAAAAAGCAAAACTTAGATCGCATTTCTATGATAATTTCATTCAATCGTAGCATGTATGTTCCATCAAATGGTTATTTTGAAGTTACGTTTATTTACATGTGTTTTTGAGACGGGGCGAGCTCTGAAAAATTGCAAAAAATTGTTTTTTTACTTAATTTTCAAAAAAAATTGAAATTATGTTTGTAATTATGAAATAATGTAAAAAAACAATAAGTTTGAGAGAGATCGCGCGCCAAACACAACGTTCCAAATAAAATTAGAAATTCTTGACTTGTTGTTTTTTTTGAAACAGTTAACCAAAATTGAATTGGGGGGGGGGGGGTTTACTTTATAAAGGGGTTTTTACGTTTGATATTTTGAACATAAATAAAAAAACAGTTACAAAAATCAAAGTGAAAGTAACAAAAATGAAGTGAAAAAAACTTTCAATTTCAGACCAAAAAACATCATTTTTAATTTTTTTAGATGTGGGTACGGGATGTTCAAAATATCCAAAGTGTCATAGAAATTTCACGGCCAACTTTTCCCATATTAACAAAGAAATACAAATTTCAGCAGAATATCAATATTACTTTGTTTTGTAACATCCATGTCAGATTAATCAATTTTCCGTGTCCTAGCTTGCTGCTTATAGTTACCTGCGGCGAGTTGTGGCTTCACATTTAGTGGGTGTATGTTCAATATGAAAAAAAAATCACGGACACTATCAAAAACTAACAAAATTTTATCGTGACTAAATTACATGTCAATAAAAAAATGGAATGAATTTTTTAATGAAAAGATCAAAACGAGCACCCTGTGTTGTTCCAGCTCTTGTTGCACGACGTCTATATAGTCATAGTTATGCTGCGTGTCATTGTCCTCAAGGTAATAACCTGAAGACGATGATGTTCCTGTACCTTCAAATCGGTTTGGACCCTGGTGACCTTGAAATCCGTGTTGGAGATACTGAAGTTGAAGTTGGTTTGAGGAACTTGTCTGACTCAGATATGACCCGTACGAATATCTATTTCCGGCTGAAATTGGGATCAATTTCGGCTTAAAATGATCAGCAAAACATTGAAAAAAAGTCGAAAGTCTTCATGGTTAAATTTAAAAAAATGCCAAGGCTTACAATGAAAACTTGAGAAAACAATAAACAATACTGGAAAGGTTTTTACATCCTATTTAAGAAAAATCAGATTGGGTTGTCGAGTTATTTCAAACTCTATGCCCCCATTAATTAAACTTCTGTAGATAAATTTGGAAAAGAAGGTTTTTTCGGGAGTACATTACAAAGCCAAAATGTGCACTCAATTTGGTTTTGATTTTGGTTTGGATAGGCGCTCAATTTGGTGTTTTTAAGCCACTGGAATCCTCAAACAAGTCTGGAAACGTGTTCCAAAATGCATGTGGATTCCTTTTATATAAGTTCAGCGGATTCTGCGCTCAATTACCTGTAACAAAAGTTTTGACGTAACATTAATTTTGTCATTGATTACCCAACGAGCAACAAAACCTAATTTTCTCGGATTACGCAAAATGTAAGCGAACTACGCAATTTTAAGCAATTTCCGCAAAATTGTCTTGTGATAGTTTTTTTGTGTAGAGGTGAATTCTAAAAATTTGTAGAGGTGAATTCAAAAGAAAGCGGATTCAGCTAAACTGTAATCGATAATGAAATGAATACATACTTGCTTGCGTATTCCACCATTTGCTTCGTATTTAACAAACTTGTTGCGTATACCGCAAATTGGGCTGTTTTTGGATCAACTTTTAAGAATACACTGTTTGGCTATTTGTTTGTAAAAATCAAATAGAAAAAAGGGTCCGAAAAAAACAGCATTTTCCGGTGGATTTCGCTACAAATTTTTTTACAGCCTTCACAATTCAACTTTTGGCCCTGTAATGTAGTAAATACTTACCTAGGTTGACTCCTTTTAAGCTATTTTCTTCATTTTCGTGATCAGTCGAATCAATTTCTTCATCGTCACTTGTCATGTCCTAAAATAAAAAAAAAACATTTATCTTATCATACTTATCATCTGTATAACTATTGAACGCATTGTCCAGCAGAAACTCAATTTCAGGCATCGAGAAAAAGAGTTTAACACGAACCCACCGAATGAGATTGTAGTTTTCAACTTCTTCTCAAAATCCAAAACGCTGGCTTCCATTTGGCATTCCCAATTTTCCGAATTGAGTTTATTTTTCATTGCAATTATTTGCTAGTTTCAATCCTAAATTAGCAAAAAATGAGCTTTGAAAAAACAGGAGAATTTTATCAAAAACGTGGTCAAATTTGGAAAACAAAGAGTCTGCTGGTTAAACTTTCAATTTCTTAGCTTCCAGAAGGTTCCCTAGTTTGAGTTACTTGTTAATAGTCTGAATTTTTCTTCCGCTTAAGGCAAAAAAAAATTCGTTTTAGAAATTTTCAAAACAAATTCTGGGGCTATAACAAACAATGATTTTTTAACCATCAATGAAAAGGTGATAAATATTGAAAAAATAACAATGCAATTTTCCATGAGATATATCGGAAAAAAGCAATGGTTTGTAACTTTAACTTTATACTACATAATTAGTGATGGTGAACGATGGGACGTCATCTTTGGAATGTTCGAAGTAAGAAAAAAATAAATAAACTCTAGTCAGTATCGACTTTACTGCTAGGTGCATTGAACAATTTTTGTTCTCTGCGCTATTGCGCTGTTATCGTTTTCTGTCAATTTTGTGAATATGTATCGGAGAATATTTTTCAAATCGCGAACTATTCGGAACATGCAACTTAGAAAACAAACTGTTTGCTACTTTATGGAATGCAAAGGCTAAGTTTGGAATGATATATACCGATATAAAAAGAAAAAAATTGCTGATCAAAAATGTAAAGTCAAACGACGAATGACGAGGATAAAACATACGTATAAGAATTGAGCTCATGTCGAGTCGAAGTGCTCACTCTATGTTTTGACCGTCTTGGCCAAAATTTGGCATGCTTTGACCGTTTCAACAAATTTTACTTGTCTCGGCTTCTCGACCAAATTCAGGCATGATTCGATTTTCTCGGCCAAAAAAGTAAACTCGATTTTGCTCAACCTAAGCCAGCTATGTTTTTACCGTCTCGCCTGAAAAACCTGCTTCATTTCGCTTGACCAAAATCAGATATGATTTGAACGTCTCGACTTAGGGCGGTTCTGCTTCAACTTTCAATTAAGATGAATTATATTGCTAAAGTTGATGATTGATCGAAAAAAGTAATATATCAGGCTTTTGCTGATGTTTTATTGAGAAGAAAAATATTTGAGTCAATTGTAATTTGACTGCTTTGATGAGATAAATTAATTTCTGAAACAAGTTTTTTCATCGTTTAATTACTATTTTTTAAACTTCATCATTTGTTGTTTTTACATGGACAAAACTTCAAGAATTGATTTCGTCTTACTGCTGAACAATCGCAACGATGTATCTTTGGACGGTAGTTTAGGTAAGCGTCGACTCTGCTCGATTTATGTTTCGTCAGATCTCGAGGTATGGTTCGACTGTGCTCGAGGTATGTTTCGGCTGTGCTCGAGGCATGTTTCGACCGTGCTCGAGGCTTAATTGCACTATCATCGAGGTATATTTCGACCGCGCTTGATCAAAGTTTGATAAGTTTTGACCGTGCTCGAGGTATGCTTCGACGGTGCTCGAGGTATGTTTCGACCGTGCTCGAGGCATGTTTGTACTGTAATCGAGGTGTGTTTGGACCGCGCTTGATCAAAATTTGTTAATTTTTGACCGTGCTCGTGGTATGTTTCGACCATGCTCGAGGTACATTTCGAGATTCTGTTTGACCCGAAATCCTGTCTTGGCTATTCTTTTTTGGTCTAGAACTGACATTGTTTTTTGTTTGACTTTACAAGTCGAAAATTAGAGTGGGCACCTCGACCCATGATTTCTTCTGTAAGATGATAAAAAATATTCTATAATCAAGTTTGACTTTGATATCCTGTTGTTAGTTTAGTGGTTCTACACAGTTCTTGAATGAAAGCACCAATATGCGAGCCGCTCAGCTCTTTGCGGATAACTGTTTCCGTGCTCTGAATAAAACCTACACGCAATTATTTCGGTTATTTTTCTTGGCAGCCAACAGTTGCCTCAACTTCCAAGCAGAGTCACGGATACTATTGGTGATAACAATTTTTCTCTTAACTATTGTATCATCCTTAAGCTCAATAATGGTTGAAACACTAGTGGACAAAATTAAGTGCAAATTCAGGATTTTAATCTGTAAAATACCTTTTTTCAGCGTACATTTTGGACAACTCACTTGCTAAAATGAGGTTTCTTACTCCGCTTGTTCAAGAAAGATTTCAGTACGATGCAAAACTTAGAGCAGATGAGGAAAACTGGCATTTTCAGACCCGGATTACATTGGTAAGTCATAAAAACTAAAAATTGATACTTTCGTAGATGGTAGCTCTGATCATTTTCTCTCGGTCAATGTAAAAATTTTACTGAACTTCGAAGGAAATGTTCCCAAATTATACTTTGAAAACAGGCATTTTACAGAGTGAAACCTAGAATTTGCGCTTACTTTTGTCCACTAGTGTATTTTTTGAGCGGAAAAATTGAGGGGAAAAAGTCAATAACTTATCAAAATAAATATACCTTGGCGTTCGGCAGACTCATTTGACTGGCAAAATGGCGCAACACGCAATACTTTGAATTCCTCAGCGGCGTGAAATCTGTCTGAAGAGAATTCGTCTTGTTCTTTTCTTGCAGCTTCTTCAGTCTTTTATGATAACTGTTCACAAAATACGCACACTTGTACAACTCCACAAAAAGGTCAAATATAAACTGACTTATTCTGTGAAGTTTTGTGTTGTATTTTTTGCATAACTCGGTGACACTGTGGCGCGCGTTTTTATCGCAAAGGTCACAAAATAAGGAAGAGTCGCAAAAATTTTCACATTTTATGCAATTTGCGACTAAAGATTTCAAAGTCGCCATTTTGGATTGTTGTTAAATTTTTTAAGAAAATCGAAATAGATAAAAAACAAGCTTATTCGCGGTCAAAATTAAGCCATTCAAGAAGTTTTCTTTGCGTTTGTACAATTTTGACGAAATTTTCTTTCGAACGCATAATGCTCACTCATAATGTACCAAGTGAAAGAATTCAGCTCTAAGCATTCAACTGCGAATACAATGTCAATATGCCAACTCGCTATGAACCATTTTTATTTGATTTGGGTCTTGTAAGTTTGAGCAAAACGAAGTTGATTAGTTTTATTGCTCGTTTTCTGGTGGAATTCGAAATCAATAAACATTCAGATCAAGCTTAATTGATCAAGCATCTGTATCTGTTTGCTGAACGTTACATGCTTAGGCCTAGTTAATTTGCCATAGGACTTTTCGTTATGTTTCCAAATCATAGCCAAGAAAAACCTTCAGCTTGGCGCTGAATCATTTCTATAAAAAGAGAGGCCATCGAATATTTTGGTCATGATAATTAGAAGTTTGTAGTCTAATTTCGTATTATCATAACCAAGATATACCAGATGTAATAATCAAAGAAGTCATCAAAAATACTTTTATCAAAAAATGTATTTAGTTATTTAGTCCTGTTGGGGTAACGAAATAGGCTAATTATGAGTCCGGATGTTATTTCTAAGCATTTTTTTAATCTCGAAAGCCCCCAAAAAAACGTCATAAAATCAGTTCGACGATCAGAAACATTTTTCAGTTTTATTTCAATTCAGTTTTTGTGAAGAAAAAAGCTTTGAAACTCATCTTTTTAGACAAATTTAGGGTGAATAGTCATTCTTCAATTAGACGATGAGTTTTTTAGTTTCTTACTCAACTATTTAGAAAAATGCTTCTACCAGCGTGAAGCTATAAAACGTCTATGAGGAGTTTCTCAGCTTTGAAAAAGGAGGAAAACATCAGAAAAAAAATTTAAAAAAAATTTGATTTTTTTGAAACACCCCTTAACGCTATACAAAGTAATTTCAATGCAATACTTATTCTGAGCTGGAATTAAACGCCGTTTACGAGTTAATTGCACAAAATATAATGAATCTTAGCTATCCTAAATTGATCATGTGAAGGCTTTTACAAAAAAAGGTCTCAATTATCAAATTTTAGAAGGAATTTGTCTGAACGAACTAAAACCACATCAAGCACAACTATTCTATCCTTTCATCGAACATTGGCGCAACAAACCAACAACAACATGAAAACAATTGCGGTTCCGCCATCATTCTGAAAAAAAATCTAATATACTCAGAAAAATTAAAACTTGATAACTTATTTATCCGAAACTTGCCGGGTTGGCAAATTCAAATCCATATTTATTTATGAAAAACGATTGCAAGCAAAATATCTGTTGGAACAAGGGTGAGCACAGGGTTTCAATATCTTTCAGATAACCAGAATGTCATTACAAGGCCAAAGTGTGCATTCTGTGCGTTTTATGCTGGTTGCGCATCAAACAAATACCTAAGACACTGTACCGGTCAAAATTGCTCTTGCAATAGGCGACTTTGCGGAATCCGCAAAAATCTTTGCGAAACCTGAAAAATTTGTATATTCAGAAACAAATAATAAGACATGCATATAGTTGAAATAAGCTGTTGAGTTATCTGTAAGTAGAATCCGCAAAATTTAAGTGAAAACCGCATTTTTTTTTGCGAAGTCCATTTACATATCGTTCAATTACTAGGAGTTCACCAGCAAATTCATCTCAATTACTAGGTCGATCAGCTACCTGTTGAAATACTAAACGTTCGATCTCAATTGCTACCCCTAACTTCCTTCTCAATTTCTGTCAAACACCCATCTTCGATCTCAATTCCTGACAAAAACACAAAACTTCGATCTCAATTCCTTCGATCTCAAAAACTGCTTTTTTCCTCCATAAGATAACGAATCTGTTTGCTGCCGGAGAGCCTAAACGCTAGTCTGATCTAAATGAGAGACCATAGGCTCCATGACACCATCCAGACAACAGCTCTTTCCTAATCGACTTGAAAACCGGACTTACCATTAATCAGATTTACCACCTACTTACCACTAGACATACCATTTTCAATGTGTTACCACTAGTCAAAAACATGTTTGAACACACAGCAATCAAGAAAAATACCTATTTTCCCAAACAAAATTGCAAAATTCTCATATACGAAAAAACCAAATAGCCATTGAAATAGCCCATTGGCGAGCTGACGTATCCTTTGGGCTTCACTCAAGAGTCCCTTCACCACAAACCTCTATAAAATTTAGGAAAGAGCCGAAGTTATCCCTTTTTTTTAACGCAAGAAACTACCAACAGCAACCTTTGAAAACCAAAATGTAAGCGTTGTAACAATGCTATGCTGAAAAAATGCGATGTGAATAAATACCCCAAGAATAATGTTCTGACAAAAAATATCAATTTTTGATCATAGATCCCAATAGTTTCCCGTTAAAAACATTGTGGTAAATTTTGAGCAAGAGGTAGTTAAGACGGGTTCAAAATTTTTAGATGATCGATTTATGAGGTAATACACTAGTCTCAAAGAAGAAATTATCACATTTTAATATTTTTCATAGATTTTTATGAACTCATCTCTTTCACTTTGACCTAATTTCGCACTCGTCTAACTGCGCCGCATCCATTAGCTAATTCATTGATTATGATAGCTAGTGTTGATATGCCAGCTCGAAGGGTCACTGAATCAATCTTACTGACTAAATCATTCGTTGAATAGTGCTTCTATTATAGTGTTTAAAACGGAGGAAGTACGAGTGTTTTAGGCTTTGGACTGCTAATAAATTACGGTTTCCGTGCGTGGTTTCAATTTCCATCTCTATTGAATGGCTTACAGTAACTACTCTTTAGCTTATGAATTAAACAATTTTAATTTTTCACAATTAAATAAAATAAAATGACATTTGTTGTTATCAATTGTACATTTTAAAAAAAGGTACAAGTCCTTCCTTTGAATTTTGGAATGCCATAAATAAAAATTCCAGTGCTAGCTTTTAATTGTTCATATGCAAGCTCAGTAGAAGCGAAATTGGAATCTAATTGCCGTTTGCTGACTCCGCTATTTTGAGGGTTCCGTTCACTTACACTTGCGGATTCTACTTGAAATTTGCGGAGTCAACTTACAGTTGCGGAGTTCGGAACAAAAGGCAGTGTTCGCTTTTTGCGAAATCCGCGACTCAACAAAAGTTCCGACAAATTTTACATCACAGGTATTTGCACAAAAAGCAAGCCCCTTGAGATTAAGACATTCATTGCTGTAAAGTCGTTCAGTGTTTATGACTTAACCATTCAAAAAGAACTCGCATCATTTTTCTAAACAAAAAATTTTATTCGTTTTACATAAATTGAAGTTTAATCTGAAAATTTTGTGACTTAATATAATTCGCGAGAAACGAAAACTTTATACATAAACTAGTTTTCAATTTATTACATGTTTTATGTACGCTGGACCTCTCTATGATAATTGATTTTTCACGGGATCGTTTTATCATAGTAGTCTTCAGGGTTTGCCCTCTTATATTGATTTTTCTCTCGACTCATCTCAAGAACTCTCTCATGATTTGAATTCACTCTATCATCTCATCCCAAATACTGCTTTCATAATTTGAATTCAATCTCCGCACACTAGATTTTTATTTCGGACTACTGAAATGCCAAACACTGATCTTATTCAGCAAAATGCAATGTTTTGTCTTTCCAAACTTTTTAGCTTCACATAATGATGTAATTCGACCTTCTTTTTCCTAAAATATGATCCCCAAAAACTGCTTGCTTGCAATAGGTATCCCGAATACTAAAAGGTGACCTACACCGGTTAAGTTAAACCATGTTTTAAGATTGCCAATGGTTCAAAACCTTGCTTTTAAATTTTACATTGCAAAAGATAAAATTCCAGTGCTAGCTTTTAATTGTTTATGTGCGAGTCTTAGCTAGCCTAGAGAATCAGAATCCAATTACAGTTTGATGAATCCGTTTTTTTTAAGGACCCACTTACAAAATTTGCAGACTCCATTTACATTTGCTGATTCTACATAAGTTTTGCTGAATCCGCTTACAGTTGCGGAAACCAAAAAAACTAGTTTCGCTTAGAAAAAAGTGCCGACAAAATTTACTTTACAGGTAATTGTACAATAACAAGGAGAATCAGAAAATTTTTTCTCCAAAACTGTTGACTGTTTACGACTTAGCACTTCAGAAAGATCTCGCATTATATTCGTAGGCAAAAATTTTTTTGTTCGTTTTACCTACAGACCTCACCGTTCACCATCTTTTAAGGTGTATCACGAAAAAAAGGCAAAAGTGAAATTTGGTGACAAAAAAACTAAACTATTTAGACTTGCTAATAATTAAAATTGCTGCAGCGAGCATATTTTCTGATATAAGCAAAATAATTATTAGAAATTTTAATCTGAAAAGTTTCTAACTTAACATAATTGGCGAGAAACAAAAACTTTATATTTAAATTAGTTTTCATCTTTTTACATGCTTTATTTACGCGGGACTTGTCTATGGTAATTGATTTTTCACAGGACAATTCTATCATAGTAGTATCCAGGTTGTGCCCTCATATATTGATTTTTCTCTCGACTCGTCTCAAGAACTCCCTCATGATTTGAAGTCACTCTATCATCTCATCCCAATTACTGCTTTCATAATTTGAAATCAATCTCCACCCACTAGATCTTTGTTTCGGACTACTGAAATTTCAAACACTGACCTTATTCTGCAAAATGCGATGCTTTGTCTTTCCAAACCTTTTAGCTTCAAATAATGATATTATTCGGTCTTCTTTTTCCAAAAATATGAACCCAAAAACTGCTTGCTTGCGATAGGTATCCCGAATACTAAAAGGTGACCTACACCGGTTCCGTTAAACCATGTTTCAAGATTGACAATGCTTAAAACTTTGCTTTTAGTTTTCGTATTGCAAAAGATAAAAATTCTATTGCTAGCTTTTAATTGTTTGTATGCGAATCTTAGCTAGCTTAAAAAATCGGAATCCACTTACAGTTTGCTGAATCCGCTTTTTTTGCAGACTCCACTTACAAAATTTACAGACTCTACTTATATTTATTGATTCTACGTAAGTTTTGCTGAATCCACTTACAGTTGCGGAAACCAGAACAACTAACAATTAGCTATATTTGCTTGT